ATTTCCAGGCACTACTTTATATATACTGATTCAGTAGGTATGGGAAAGGACCAGAAGATAATGGTTTTAAAAAGCACCCTCAATCATTCCAATACAAGTGGTCTTGGTCACTCTGAAATGGATAGCTAGGACTGTGAGAGACCCACAGGGCTGAAACAAGTCCCATGTACCCCAAATTATTCTGATCCTCAATTTCAGGATGTAAACTCAAATTTCCTAAAACTGAGTAATAAATTCACATAATTATTTTAGTTGGAAGGAAAAAAGAAAAGGAAAATCTAGACTGCTAGATAGTTTGCAGATAAAAAATACTGAGCCTCATAAAGGTAGACTAATAAGTACCCAAGATGTCACAGCCTGTTTATCTTGAAAGTCTTCACCTAGGACTGCTCCATTTTCTTTCCTGCATGAACACGGCATCTCAACATCCATGTTCCCAATAAACGCAGTCTTAGTAACTGTGTGCATGTGTCTATGTGTGTGTCAAAGATGAAACCTTCTCTAGACAAGATCAAAACCTTAAAAATAAATATTTTCAATTTAAGATATTCTAATACTATAAAAATATGCTTCTCTGAGCTAAATGTTGCTTTAATGTATTTCACATGCATTTTCATTGTTTTATCAACATGATAAATTAAATTGGAGGGGGGTGCTTCTCCGGGAGAAGATAAAGCCAAATGGAACTATGATTTTTAACTTTTATTTATAGAAACATTGGAGATGTGATGGTCTCAAACTCCCATTCATCCTCATTCAGGGCAGGTCCTTGATCAAAAATTCCTCAAACAGTTCCACATATTTCTGTTTAGAGATTCAGCTTTTTTTCTGCAAGTGAATTCTGTGATTAGTAATAGGACTGGAAAGTTGGAGGAAAACATACACATTTTAATTTTCTCCCTCTTAGGAAAAGTTATCAGTTTCATACAAAGGGAAATGCTGGGAAAGAAATTCTCCCCTAGGATCACTAACCCACAATACAATAATTAATAAGAGCTTGAATTCTTAGTGTGTACTTTCCCAAATCCTGTTGATCCTATCTAATGTTTTATAACTGAACACAAACTTAACAAAGTTCGGAGCATGACCAGACAACCTTCAAAATCTACTTCTTTGTCTAATCTTCAATGACTCAAGGAAAAAGTCTTCCATATACTTTGTTCATCAGGAAAAAAGCTTATGCTGCTATCCTTAATTTCTCCATGATTTCTATAATTGTTATCTAACAACTAATATTGATTTTAAAAATTAAAAAAAAAAAAGACTGAACTGTGAACCAAAAACAGAGTTGGCAAATCACTGAAATTCTTAAACTCTTGAGTGAATTAATTCAATTAATTTGTATTTATTTAAATACAATGTATTTAAAAATGCCTCCTAAGCCTTTTCCAGTCCCATTCCATTACTATCCCCACTTTCTGTCTCTTTACTAGTAGTACCGTAAAGCATATTCTTGGCTAAACAGTCCACAGGAATTTTTTTTTTCTTTTTAAGTTGAATCTTCCACTGTTCTTATTTTAGAGATTCTGTTCAGTATTTCGAGTCACCATCTGTAGCCTCCTGGAAAATTTTTTTTTCTTTTACATGATTTACTAAGTTTGCTCTGTCTGTTGCACAGTTATTTTTTTTTTTTTTTAATGTATTCCCAGAGTTTCCAGTCAGGAAAAATCTGGATTCAGATGTTTAACTGATGCTAAACAATTCCAAATAAATCCATTAGAAACCCTTATAAGAATTAAATTGTGCTCATTAAAGCATAAAATAAAGAAAAATTGTTATCTGTTCAAGTAAGTTGAGAACAGTATGTTCTAAAACATGAGAGGAATATAATGTTTAATTTTAAAACATACCACAGAAATACACACAAGTCTCCAAAATATAATAAATATCTTAAACAAATTGAGTAATATTTCCTAGTTGCTATTTGATTCTTCTAAGGCCTCTCAGCTTGTGCTAAGCAAAGCAATCTTTCCTTCTTACAAACCAAGTTATCCTCTCACACCACTGATTTAATTTCTAATAAATAAAGGTTGTTTCAAACATGGCAATCCTGGCAGTTAAAGATTTTTTGTTCCCAGTCCTAATTGCAGAATTTTCTGCTTATCCATAAATAAAATTCTGATAATATTTCTTTATTACCTGAGCTTTCAATTAACTTTCTTCTCACATTGTATTACAAAGAAGAATATTGAATAGACTTCCCATTTTTTCCAAATTAAAATACCACAAGAAAAGAATGGGCCCTACTGGATATGCATAATGAAAGTCAAAAAAGAAAAGAAAAAAGAAAGCTTTACAAAGACAGAAGTCACAGCTTTGCAAAGTTTGATAGTCAAGCTTTAAAATAACTACCCAGCCTCCTTTCCTGTAAGTTGAATGAACTCTGAGACATGTCCCACCTTGTATCCTAGAACTCCCCAGTGGGAATGAGCTCATTGTCCATTGCAGTAACTGGCTTTACAATGGATTCTGGTTTTTTCCCTTCCTTAGCTCACTTCCTCAGCCCCTCTTCGGTGTTCCCTGTGATCATCTCCCAAAGAAACTATTCACACTAAATCTTTGTCTCAGAAGCTGCTTCTGGGGGAAAACATAAAGACACAACCTCAGTATCTCTCTAGTCCATATAACTGTTCCCACACCCTTCCGCCTGACAAATACCCACTGTGCTCCTAAACCACTCCTGGCATAAGCGCTATTACTGACCAATCAGAAAAGCATATAGTACTCCATGTTCTCCCCACAACCAACTCTGGTCCCTCTTTTATTCATGCTCGTAAGACTGATTATTGCTGATAAACCAAACAAATAGTTTACACTGGGACATTCAGATGCAGCAGCTTGTTTTGGTATAAATAATGCAGTAGGAAAAGCAAAAGACCTCACATGAGATTCATCATTCATACTTTGGTGACTCAGTCCAATAACCCTCCAGGTTCAAATATTTCAGCAATGAAGTGAAGTCGATACCTGATTCATGACAAGAAATAGGGATAAAGTCTTGAGAACTGGAAAATTCAGGATGCATAGGACACCATGTTCAAACCAATCTCCCATCTTGAAGGTGCCTTTCATGATAGTATAGCCTAATGTTTCAAAGCTCAGCCCTTCAAAGGTAGAGAAGAACCCAGGGACTTAAGAGCCCAAATCCATTGCTGGTGGGGTAAAAATGGGGATATCCACGCTAGAGAGCAGTCATCTGGGAGGATTTAGAATCAAATTAAGTATGTGCACATTTACAATGAATTGTAATCCTGGGTATATATTCCAGAGAAACATTCACATAGACCTCCAAGGAGGCTCATGCCATGGTGTGCATTGCAACCACTTCTGGGAGTGAAGCAGCCTGAGGGGCCACCACAGGGCAGGAGGGTGGGAGAAATGTGATGAAGGCACACCATGGGGCTGTAAGGAAAAAATCCCAGTAGACATTTGCAGAGCAATGTGAATAGAGCTTCAAAACCATAGTGCTGAGTGAAGATCAAAATAAACATAATATGAGCAATACCATTTACATTTCTTAAACATATATGCAGACAAAAATACACATCTTCAAAAGATACAAGTAAAAACATACATTAATGACACATAAGAATGTGTGCCTATCTATAGCAGGGGAAGGGAAGGTGGAAATTGTTATAAAAGATAATTAATCAATTATCCAATCAACAAATATATAGGAGAGAGGCTTTGCTCAAACTTAAAATAGTAATCTTCCATGAACCAGGGAGTTTGAGCAACTCAAGATCAAAAAAATGAATGAATGAATGAATGAATGAATGAATGATTGAAAAATGGCTGGTCTTAGAATCAGGCTGTTTAGATTTGAATTCTGCCTCTGCCACTTACTAGCTTGACTTAAACTTTTGATTCCTGTTCCCACAAACATAAACTGTGAATAATAATATCACCTGCCTCACAGGCTCATTGTGAGGGGTGACTTAAATTCATATGAAGCCCTGGGTGTGGGGCCTGGCACATGCTACCAGCTGGGTGACCACTGGAGATTACTATGAATGATGTAAAGTGATGCCACACACAGTTAAGCAGGTTGATGGAGAAGTAGTTTTTTGGGGGGAGGAGAGAGGAGCAGCGATCTTAGCTGAAGCTCTCCTGTTTCTCATTCACTGATAGGGGAGGTTTCCAGGCGCCAACAGATGACTGACAGTGGAGCATCCCGAACAGGCTAGTGGGGAACGACGGGGCCCCGCTCCGCTGCAGACGACTCTCCCGGCGTTGCCCCGGGCAGGATGACGGGGTGACGAAGCAGCCGTCTGAGGTCTGTGGCTCGCACAGGGCTGGCTCCCGGGGAACGTGGGCACTTTGCCAGGGGTAAGTAAAGTAGCCAGTACAGAACCTGCTCTGATACCGGGGGCTCCCTGTCCTTCCTCGCCACGGTTTCTTCATTAACGTGTATCGCTGTAGGCTTCCCAGCTGGGCAGAGGCTAGAAAAAGAAAACCACTTAGAGAAGAGTGGGCAGACTGCTGGGGACAGCAACTGGGACAGAAACTGACCACACCGGTAGGGTGGGCACTGGGTGTCCCGGAGGGGGGCGCCCCACGGCTGTCATCACAGTGCAGGCTTGCTCTGCGGCCTTTGCTGCTCCCCGGAGTACGAACTGATTCTGAAGAAGCCCCACAAGAACCACGTGGCAACAAGCAGAGACACAGTATGTCAGAGAGAGTCCAGGCGCACGACGCTCCATGACACTGAACTGCCCTCCCCTGCTGCTCACCCCCCCCCCGCCCCCACCCCTGTGCACACAGTCTGTCCTGGCAGCACAGAGCCCAGAGCACGAACACTGTGTGTGTTATGGGAAATACCAACTTTCTCACGTTCGAGTTCTCCCCCTCAATATTAACATCCCCTGAAAACAGGCAGGAGCTCATTTTTTTTTAATTCTTCTTTTTCTTTATATGTAAAAAAAAAAAAATAAGTGAAGCAAAACGGGAAGAAAACCTGATTCAGTAAGTAATGTATGCATTAAATAAGACTGGTGTTGAAAAACAGTCACAACCATTCTTCTGTTCACCCATGATTCTTCTTTATTTGGCTGTTAAATATAGGGGCGCGTTAGTATTGCTGTCAGCTTAATAGAAGGCATTAAAGGCTCCAACAGCGGCGTGAGAAGCGGCAGTTCAATCTCTCCCGTGCTGGGTGTTAGTAGAGACTGTGGTGTTATCTGCCTGCAGGAACGTTTCTTTAGCTCCCCTTCTGCACTGTAGTTCCTAAAGCGAGCACGCATACTGAAAAAGGAGTCCTATCTAGCAAGTGATTAGCACCAGCATCCCAAATCCCTTCAGCGCGGCCTGTGTTTTCAGCTTCTGCTCCAACTTCATTGCTGTAAAATAAGAGAAAACAGTAGTCAGGTTGATGGAGATAAATAACTTTTTAAAATGTGCTCCAACATTTATACATTAACATTTGGGCATAGCAGCTCATATAAAAAATGGTTTCTAGTAAGAAAAGTTTTCTTTTTTTTTGCTCTCAGGAGCTGTTTTCTTGTTACACAATTAAATGGCATACTAAAGACACGCAGCCGAACCCTCACATCAGACTCTGATCTCTGGAGAGCTCAGCAGTTCTGGCCTCCCTGGAGGGCTATGAGGGCGTGAGGGACCCGTGCAGCAGCGTGGAACCACATGGCCTTGTCACTCCCAGCTCTCACCCTTCAATCACTTGGTTTCTGCTTTCCCCGTTTCCTTTAACATTGAACGCATCATTCCCTAAAGGTACTCTCTCCAACTAGGGTGAACTGCGGTTGGATTAAGTGTCAGCTTTTGCTAAACGGAATATTATAAAGGGCAGAGAAGCAAATGAACCTCTTGCCTTTTTTCATGTTTGGTTTGACTGGCTTTATAACATTGCTGTGTGGTATAGGAATGAGTCCAGTATTTCCTTTACCCATCAATCTCTGGGTTCCTATGTGATAGGGTTAGACTGTCTGGAACAGACAAGGTAAACTTAGTTGAATGCAGAGGGGTATGAGCAGATTACACAAGCTAAGAAAGAAAAGAAATTATCAGAGGTGAAGGCAGAAAAGAAATTGAGTTCTAAAATGTTACTCTGATAGAACAATGCGATGGAAGGACACCAGAGAAAAGAAATAATCATAACTTTGCATTTCCAGGCATCAATTCATGGAAGCAATGGAGCGCTCCAAAATGGCTGGTGGGGAATCACGCGTCCCCTTGCTGTTCTGGAGGCAAATCTCCCTGCTTTGTCCTGGGCTGCATCATAGGTAAAGAAGCAGTGGTCTGAGAGAGCTGTGGCTTAGAGCTGGCGAGGGTGGAACGTGGCTTATATGCAAAGGGTAAATAAAGCAGACAGGAAACCTGGGTGTAACACGGCCAAGGTTGAGCAGGATTGTGAAACATGATTACATTTTGCATTGTTCAGGAAAAAGTGCATTTGTTAGACTAGAAGGAGGAGGTAGAGAAAAAGCCGCCAAAGCAAGGGGGTAGCTCCTTGTGGCACAGATTTGCTCGGCCATAGCAAATCATGAAGTGAGCTGTAGCTTTCACGTCTGGGATTCTCTAACGCTTCAGAATGAAAAGAACAAATGACTAAATTATGTCGTCTCCGCCTTTCCTTTTTAAAAAATAAAAACTACCATTTATTTGATTCCCCTCAAAATGCCAACATTTGGTAGCTAATACTACAAGAGATTTAAAGAAATCATTATTATTTAGATAGCACTTATTAAGTAAGATGCATTTTATACGTGAAGCACTTTATGTGCATTAATGCAGATCTTCACCTAATCCTTTGATCTCATTTTACAGAGAATGAAAGTGAGGCTCAAAAAGAGTAAATATTATGCCGAAGGCCACAGTACTTGAAATTAAACTCGAGTTTGTTCAATGTTTTCTATTTGTTTTTGTTGTTAGCATAACCATTAAGTGCATCTCAGCCATATTAAAACACACATTGTGTCTGGCTTATAAATGATAAACTGTCACCAGAAGGGGTTAAGCAGAAGATATATTTATATATACCTGTAGACTGGATTATAACATTAAATAAAGTATTGGACTAAATGCCCTCTAAATTCTCTTTCAAATATAAGACTTTTTAATTATATGAACAATTAAATCAGGTCGCAGAGGAAGAGGTGTAGTTCGTGCTCTGAGGCCATGCTGGCCAACTCGGCAGTATTTCTCAGCCCTTCCGGGATCCACCGGCAGATCAAAGTAATGGTTAGCCCCATAAGCCACTGGTTTGAAAGAATGTGTTATGTTATGGCAGGCAGAGTCATGATTTTAGGTATTTTTATGAAGCTTTTACTTTCCTTTGCCAATCTCAGTGTAGGCAGAGAACTAAATAACTTGAGATAAACAAAGGTTAACATTTAAGAAAGATCAAGATCATTAATGAAAAATAAAGAAGTCTTTATTTTCTGATGAGCACCCTGGCAGTTAAGGCCCAGTATTTTATTGTATTGCTAGTTGAACAACACACTTACAAGCAAATATAAATAAGAACTTAAGACATTTAGAAAATCATAAATTTAAAGGCAGTCAAATCCCCATTTTTTTAAATTTAGACTTAACTTTGAGTAATAAGTGATGCAGTGTTGTGAAACTTTAAGCCAATGTTATAAGAAAGCACTTTTCCTCAGAATGTGCTGTGTAAATTGATTTTTCATTCCCTTTTAATACAAAACCATTTATGTATACTCTTCTCTGCCAATTGAAAGCAAATGATCTGTAAATGGTTTCGTGTAAACATGAAATCAGACTGCACATATGCGGAACAAAAAGCCACTTCCAGAAAATGTATATCATAAAATTATTAATAGCTGTATATTCATTTTTTTCCGAAAGATTTTAACTGTATTTTGGACATTTACCTAACTACTAACTTTGCTGAAAAGACACAAAATCTAGTATCATAATTTATTATCCATAACAGAAGCTATAAAATGTTTATTAATTAAAGTCTTCTAAAGGTCTCATGATAAATAGAGAAAGCAAGTGTTATGGACCTGAACTCCAAATAGTTATTAACCCTGATCTTATTGTGCTTGTTTATCTTGAGAAACTAACACACAGAGGAATGTAAGTCCTTCTAGCTCCTGACTTCTGCTCATATTTACCATAACTCACCGCAGTACAAACTCCAACATTAATCTATTGAGGTGACTTGGAAGGAGAGATCACAAAATTATCAGACCCTCACTTTTCCTATAGTAGATTCAACTGAGTCCCTAGAAAAGAAAAATAAAAGGTACTTCTTTCTTCTTATTGTATACTTCAGAACAAAACTCAAATTTCAGTTCTGCCCCTTGTCAGCCAGGGCAAATTAGAAACAAGAAATAGAAATTAGAAATTAGAAATTAGAAATAAGAGGCTTAATTCCCCTTGCTGAAAATCAGGGAAGAGATTTCTCTCCCTTGTTCTTAGAACATTTACTTTAGCAAACTTGTCATTGTAATAATATTTTCCTCTTTGCAATGTGTAAAGTCCTTTCAAAAACTAGATTGGCATTTTTTCAGCTTTAAGACCAGGAACTCTTTCTCAAAGATTTGAGAACCATGTAAACATCCAAGTGAGATAGGACACTATTCTAGTTTTGGAGGGAGGGTAGGTGCCCAAGTTTAGCTGATATTTAGTTTCAAGTTGTAAAACTACATCCTATCATAAAGATATGAGTTTGTTTTTCCTTTGTGTAAAGCCAATTACCTGATACACACAGTCACCCCAATCATCGGTGATTTAGGATAAACTGTGTGTAATAAATGTTATTGTCAAGTTCTCTTCCTTGAGGATGAGCTAAATTATGGTTAATCTTGGGAACGTCTACATTATGAGTCGTACCTGCCTGTCCATATGAAGGGTAAGACTTCTTCCTCCCTCTGCAACCGCTTAGTTATTGTCTGTGGTGCACATCACCTTCTGGTTTAATGCTTACTCAATAATAAATTATTTTCTCTCTCTACTATCTTTGTGAAAAGAACTGAGTTGGGAGGAAGATTTTTTTAAATTGTGTTTCCCCAACACAGGATGGAGGCTTACAACACAATAAAGTCATTTTGATGGGCCCACTGCTGCCAAATCTTGTGGCAGGAATGTCCTTTATTTTATTATTTCCTTGCTTACTTGGATACCTGGGCAAGGTGGCTATCCATCCTGGTGTTCACATGAAGTGTCTTTATTAGACAAATATACCCTGGCCCTTTAGCTAGTTATCTATCAAAGTATATGAATCTTTCAATTTTTCAATCAGCAGTTAATAATTTCCAGATTTCAAGTTACTGCCTGAGATTGCAACCTTGAACTCTGCAATCCAAGATTTATCAAAACTTGATTTTGAGAAATAATGTTTATGGGAAATTGCCTGGAGGGACTACAGTGGGCCTATTCCTCTTGATAATTTCATTTTTACCCTGAACTAACCCAGAAAATGAGACTGCCTTCTACGAACAAATCACTTATTTTCTCTTTTCCATGTTCTCATCTGGAGAATAAAGATAAAGAAATGAGATGCTTGTCCCGTAAAATTAGAACTTTAGACATCAATGGAGGTTAGGATTCAAAATAAAATGAACACCAAAAGCTCATATACACATCAACAGCAGATCAATCATAGTCACCTTGCTAGCAGAATTGTTATCTTGCCAACTCTTAACTGCTTTTCAAATATCAGCAAAGAAAAGGAATAAGAAAGGAGAAGAATTTGCCTAGTATGTGTTTTATGAGCAGCTAGTGACTGATTAGCTCTCAAGTTGTGTTCATAACAAGTGTATCTGAAAATTCAGAATCAAATGCATCTAATCATATTTTCAGAAATCAACTGACCCTCATGCTAAAAATGCAGTAGACCTGGGGCTGCATGTAGCAGGTAATGTGAAGGGTGACAAGTCTGTTTATACGTCATTCCCCAGGATGACTTTCCTAATTAAACCTGTAGAAAGAGAAGTGGGTTATAGACTAGTTGTGGATCAGAGTTGATGAATTCACAAGACATGATGAATACAATAAAAAATAATTGCTGTTACTAGAGTTTAACTTCTTCTAAGTCTTCTCAGAAATCATTTATCTCAGGCAGGGAGTTTGTTCTAAAGTTGATGGAGCTATATATATATATATATATATATACATACATACACTGACAGCTGGAGATTACTGCATTGGTGTGGACAGTTGAAATCTATAAAAGTGACCTTTGAAAATTGATCAGCCAGATGGCTACAATGGTCAAATGGATTGTTTAGGGATCTCACTAGCTTGTATGAGGGTTCATCAACAGCCAAGTATTTTTTTAAGTGCCATATAAAATGCTAAATCAAACAATTCTTTGAAATGTACTAGCCTACAGACTCAGCCTGCACCAAATGGTATGCCCAGACACACCCTAAGTATTTTCTAGACCTTATGTGGAATATCAAAACACAAACAGAAATAAAGAATTAGATATTACTAAGGAAATTACAGGGAGTCTCAACAGATCTCTCAAAATTAATCTGCCACAGGTTAAAGCACATGTTAAATCTTTGTGACATTGGACAGGATTATGTGACCCAAATTTTTATTAAGTCAAAGCACTCCCTGAAACAAATTTTTTTTTATGATTCTCCAGCTTTTACTTTCAAATTTCTGTTTCCAAAATTGAATAACTGATTTGACTGGCTTTCCTAGACTTCCAAAGAAAGCTAGAACTTGAAGATTTCAACTCTTGGTTGTACGTTTGAATCAACATTCAGTTCCTTTGCCCACCTCCGGATCGTCTTGATTTGATTTGCCTGGAGCAGAACCCCACTACCTGGGCTTTTTGAAACTCTTAGGAGATTCTAATGTTCAGCCAAAGGTGTGTGCAACTGAACTAGATGATAAATTGAATTGTTGTTTTGACTTTTAGTTCTCTTTAAATGTATTTTATAAGTTGGATGACTAATAAAAATGATAAGCAAGTCAAATCAGATAAATCTGAGATTTATTTTTTTTTAATGAATTACGAGCTCATTTTTACAAACCAGTATTTCTACAATAGCATGATTGCATACAAAAGATGGGACTCTGGCAGTAAGAAAGAAACTGCTATCTTCAGGAGAAGCAAGAAAAACCAAGGGGGAAATTCTGGGATCCAGGCAAGGGTTCTTCCATAATTCTTTATTCGCACTGGGTTCATAACTGGAATGGTTTAATCTTCAGGCTATATAGTCATAAGAATAGGTTTGCTTTATAAAAATATATTTTGCTTGGTTGGTGCTTTGCAGGTAAATAAATAACAAAGGGAGGATTTGGGGAAAGTAGGTCAATATTATAGTCTGACCACATGTCATGAGGAGAAGTAAAAAATTGTTAAACTGCTCTAAAATGTGCCAATTTTACTAAGACATAAAATCCAACAGACTGGAAGCATAAAATGGCCTTTTAATTATTTACATTTCTTTTAATGATAATAATTACTCCCTATCTATCACAAATTTTCAACTTCAGTTTCTTTTATGGTGTTTTTCATATATTCCAAACCTAACATTCAGAAGTTCACAATTCAACATTTATTATCTGAACTGGATGCTTTTGTTATTTAAATAACCAACTGATTTTCTATTGTTGGGTAGAAACACTCTTTTTGTGTAGATACAGTCTCTGTGAATTTGAGCCAGAAGTGTGTTTGAAAGAAAAACATTTGGCTTATTTTTTGCATTCATCTGAAATGTATAAAATCTATTCAACAATCCTATTTTTGGATAATACATTTCTCCAACTTTTCAATTTAACACCATCACACTGAAAAGGCTAGCACAATAGACAGAGTTAATATCTTTAATATATAAAGGGAGTTTACAACTCAATAAGAAAAACATTACCATACTAGTAGTTGAATGCATAATACAAAAACAAAATAGACTAAAATAAACTGTCAAATATTTTAAAGTTATTCTAAAATAATTTAAAATACTTTAAAAGGGAGAAAGAATTTGATAGCATAGAGACAAATGTTTAGATAGTTTTAGACAAAGAGCTGGACAGAGTATAGTAGAGGCCTTAAGAGCACAGGGTCCAGGCAGTCAGATATGGATTCAGTTCCTTACTGTGTAGACACTTGCCAGCTGTCTGGCTTTAGGCTGATTTCCTTCAGCCTCAGTTTCCTCATCTATAAAATGGGAATAATTGTACCTAGCTTAGTTTTGTGAAGATTAAGTAAAATAAGGCATATAAAAGGCACAACACTTTCTAACATACAGTTCTCAATAAATTGGCAATTACGATAATTCTCATCACTGGCAAGAATACATGGAAACACTATATATAACACATACATAATGAGACCTGGTAGGATAAATGACTATAATTTTTCAGGATTACAATTTGGCTATATGTATGAAAAGTCTTCCATATGTCCATACTCATTGAACCAATAATCCTATTTAAAAATAATCAGAAATATGGTCAGGGATAGAAATCCACACCTGTTCATAACACACATTCATATTTATTTTAACGACTAATGTTACAGCAGAGAGCTATATGGTCTTGTATGACGGAAGTTTTAAATGTGCAGAAACAGGGATGTCAGTGTATGAGAAGTAAATAATATGCTCTATGTTGTGGAAAAAAGGCTTTGAGAAAATTTAGATTTTATTTGGAATTTTGTTATTCCCACTTCTCTTTTGTATTATGCTTATTTTTCCTAAACTTAGAGGCTGCAAAATTGAGGATGCCTCATTTGTGAGGATACCTAAAATGAATTCATGAGCTCATTTATTCCCTTTAAAAGATAAATCCCCTAAAAATCCCTTTTTTTCACACATTTACCATTTCATGTCTGAGAGGATATAGAAGAAAATGTTATTTCAGCTTATCCTTATTATATACCCTTGCTCTTAACACAAAATTTAAACAGTTTTTACAGAATATTTTCTTGGTTTTTTATATCATTTATAAAATATAAAAAGGATTTTTGAAATGTATTTTTTGTCAGCTCAAACTGTGAAAGTGGCTAAACATTTGCATGACATTGAGAAGCTATGTTTTAACTGGTATGTTTTTGCCTGTATGTTACCTGCCATGTGCAAAATTCACTTGGGGGTTGAGGGAGTGCTCAGAGAGCTAAGCAGATATCCTCCAATGAGCTGAAACTGACCTACCATGAGATGCTGGGACTGACTCAGAAGGCCCACCATAGTATTATGGGACATCCTTTGCCCCTCCAGAGAAAGGAGACAGCAGTGGTTTCACATACGACTCCAAAGAGAAAAACTACAGATACTCAGGAGAGAACGAATTGGTTTGTAATGGGGACCTTGCAAACACGGGGATCTCTTCTCCCACCTTCCACACTGAAGAGCATCAAGAATTTACTTACTCGACTATCAGTTGCTTCTGAACAACACAGAATGGGTGAGTTAGTTCTTTCTTTTAAAAAACAGCATGATTTTATGAATTTTTTAAAAAGATTGCTTTATTTCTACAGCCTAGGATCACAGGGACATGGATAACTAGATCTCTAAGTGTACCTTTCATTTACCTCTTTGGATTCAAAGGTTTCATGTTCAGGAATAGCCACCATTGGATGACTCAGCTTCACAGAAAAGATGCCCAGGATGTGATCAGGGGTAGAAGTAAGGAGAAATAAATGTTTAAAATCCTTAAAATAGATAAGTAAGCAATGTCCTAAGCATATTATTGCTGATCACAGTAGATTCTACCAAGTGTAAACCTTTGATTTCATTTTTTAGTTGTTATTAAAAACAAAGGAAGATATTCTTAACATAGAAAAAAAATTAGTAGATGGTGAGTACTTGAGCTAAGTCCACATCTTACTTATCTTTGTGTCCTACATAAACTCTTAACAGTGCTTGGTGTATAGCACAGACAGTTGTTAAATGTTTATTGAATGAATGAATTATTAAAACACACTGACAGATTTCATAGAGAGGAAATCCAGTTATATTTGTTTCAGCACTCACAATAGGCCTCAAATTGAAAAGCTCTAAAGCGAGAAGAGAACTGCTCAGACCCACAGAAAATGCCGATGTGTCCATAGAGAGTGAATGCTTACTTGGAATGTAAAGCGCTGTACATTTTTGTAAATATTAATAAACTCAATACGCAGGGACTTCATAAACATTGCGGTCTAACTGGATGATGCTATTAGAATGTAGTTTATAACACAGAGGCACTTTAACAGGAGGGGAGTTCTTTTTCTTATGTAGGAATTTTTATTATAGCTTCGGTCTTCTCAGCACTATATGTACACTTAAAGCTGTTGAAATAGAAAACAGTCATAGATAGTGCAAGGAAAAGAGGCAGAGGGACACACAAAAACACAGAGAGAAGGGAAGGGCTATCATTTGTAATAAATCTGTTCACCCCTTTTTGACCCCACCATATCTCCTCGCTCCAACTTTAGGGTAACACAGTAACTGGTTTGTCAAGGACATTCCTTGTTTCTGCTATTATGTTGGCTAAATCAGAGCTATGGGAACAACTGGCCCCCTTTTGTTCCTAATAGGACCCTGATTTGGTCAATAAATCAGTGAAACAGTGACTAGCTCCTAATTCTCCAGGGCAATTCAAAGGAGCCCAGCAATTTGGTCCCAGAAGGACACCAACACTAGGGGACAGGGGAGGTCAAGGAGGTCCTGCTTTACATTTCCTCATGCTTCCCTCTGTTCCAGAAGATTTTTAAGAATGGAGTCTGCTTTTATTCAAAGCTATGGCTTCACGAAATCCTAGCCATTACACTCTGTTCCTAACGATGAAATCCTCTGGGTATCATAACGTCGGGACTCCCAGCTGCCTGAGACCACTGCTTTAAATAGAAGCATGATCTGGCCCCAGAGCCAACTAGAGACATAAATAGCATTCCAGAAATCAGCTAAAAGTTCTTAACTTTCTCCTGTCTATCAGGGTCTCCTGAGATCCTGAGCCTGGCTTAAGACTCAACCCTATGGTACCATTTCAAACTCAGACCCGGGTAATTGGTCCTGGAGATAGCAGAACCTTTAGCACACCTAAGCTAAGCAGTGTGGTGATTATATGAATCATCAGAGTTTCTACAATATCAAACTTCCATTCTCCTAATCTACAGTAGTGTAGGATGAATATCCTGAAATTTGAAAATGTTGGATAATTCCCAGTAAAATATTCAATTGATATTGGAAAATTGAATAATTGTGCAATTTTCCACTATAACTATTCACTGAAATCCATTTCATTGCAATCTTGAATTTCAAACACTTCGTGTTAATTATCCTAATCAACAAAAGAAAATGCTAATTAATTGGTAATTCCCAAATCATTTATATTTGGCTTTGGAATGCTTTCTTTTATTTATGACTTCTTTTTATCACAGTAGGTTTCCCTTTTTATTATCCCTAAGTTGACTAAAAATATAAAATGTGATATTATCTTGTAAAAGTTAATGGATTTAGTCATAATAATTTATGTACTCGCATAACAAATTTATTACATGTATTTGCATAATTGGTTTTCACAACAAAGTGAGGTGAGCACTAATATTACCCTGTTTCACAGATGATGACAGTAAAACACTGAGAAGCAGGGTAACTTATTCAAGGTCTAGAACTAGCAAGTGGCAGCGCCATGACTGGAGTCCAGGGTGACCGTCTCCAGAGACTGCCTCAAAGCCAAGTGTGAAATGTAATTATGCCATTGGGAAGATGCTCAGGAAATGGGAGACGGGGAGACAGGGGAAGCCAGTGGTGTGTGCCACTTTGCAAAAGGAAAAGCCACATACTAAAATCAAGAGTGTCCCATTCAGAGATCAAAAGGAGTGCAGGAGTGGCTGGGGTGCACCTATATAAGGCCATGCAGGAGACACAATACAATGGAGCCCCTGTCAGATGAGGAGTCTAGGCTTCACTGCCCAGGCAGTGAGAAGTCACTGAACTACTTTAAACCAGAAAGGGGCATGTGTCATCACATTTTCAGTTCCAAACTGTCACTATGGCCGATATGCAAAATATGGATGGAGGGGACTAGAAGATATTTAAGTAATCAGAGACAGAATAAAAAAGGTTTAAATTAAGCATTGCCTTAGAGTGTAGAGTAGAAGACAAGTTTTCTGGGTGACCGTAGGGCCCTCTGCTCCCTAGGATGAGTGAAGAAATGTCAGGTAGACATGTTGATATTTTGTTGACTAGGGAAGAAACATTGGGAAACTAAATTAGAGAGAGGTTTTGTAATGCATGAGGGCTAGAGATGCCAGGTGGGGAGGGCAATGAAAATGTGAAAATCCTCTCACAGTAGAAATGGAAACAATGAAACTAAAACATTAAAACAAATTCTACGTAGGTGAACCGCTTGCTCTGCAAAGAATAGGTGAACACTGAAGCACAGAATCATCCAAGCCTATTTATTTGGTGGCAAGTGTCCTGGAGAACAAATTACTATTATGCTGTTAAAAAGAAAGACAACTCTGAGAAGTTACTAATTTTATCATCAGAGCATTATTCAACCTAGAAGGATCAATAAAATAGAAAGTGCAAGTGAAATGAGACAAAAGATACTTTTATCCTAGATCGAAACTCCAATCCTAGATATTGTGTAAACAGATTAATTAGACCTTGGCTCACCCACACTGTGGGGTAATCAACAAGTGGTATTTGAATAAAATCTTCAGTTGATTTTTATTACACTCTTGATCAGAGCTGCCACCAAACTAATATAAAGCCTTATAAAGTGTTTGTTACCAGTCTGGGCTTTCTCATGAATGGCACTGCTTCTCCAGAGGTAACGGGAACTTCTCTAACAAAGACAGATAAAATTCCCTTGAACCAATTGGAGAAATGAGAACCCTACAACTAGAAGAAAAGAAAATATGCAAAATGTGGTAAATCACTTAATTAAGTCTTTTATCCACCTGAGAAATGGAATTCAAACTCTGGCTTTTGTGAAACACCTCTCCCTCCTGCATGAAGATGAAGTAGATTTTCTTTTTCTTGTCCGCCAGAAATTATAAAGCTGAGGAAGTGTTACAAGCAACGTTTTTTAAATCACCCAGGGTACTAAGGCTACTCAGAATTCAGTTCTTTGGGATTGCTTATTCAAGGTCTAGAACTAGCAAGTGGCAGTTGCTACCACAACCTCTTGTAAACTCCCTTTAACTCCATCTGTCTGCCATGAACTGTACCTTCTACTTCTGTCTCCCCACCTAGATTTGTGATCTACTCAAGCAGTGTAATCTTCTTAAGAACATTTCTAAAAAATAAACATGACAAATTATTGTAGCAATACCTATATAAAATACCATGTGTCTCAAGTATAATGTCACCATGGGGCTGTAAGCCTCATCTTTAGGTCTTCTGCACCCGGCACAGGGCCCCTCAGCACAGAGTACACAATGAGTACTGAGCAAACAAATTAATGAAGAAAGAATGAATGAAATGATTAGAGAAAAGCAAGAGGGAGTTCTGACTTGCAAAATCAAAGAATTCTGAATTAGTGAAGAATCAGGACGGGTTTACTGCATTCCTAAAAGACTCATGTAAATGAAACTTTGTGAACTAGAGACCTTTGAGCTAGAACTATCACCCAGGTGTGTTCTGCTTGTCCTTGCTATTTTTTGCTTGAGAAAGAACTGAATTTCATTGTCAGTTCAGTGTTCGAGTCCACAGGTTCTACATGCAGGTTTGTATTTCTTGTTTCTCTTGGACTGTTTAAAGGGCTTGGAACACCAGCCTGAAACCATCTGGATGTGTCCAGCAGCCTGCCCTTTTAGATAAAGCTAAACTCTCCATATCCACACAGTCCCCATCATCCTTCTAAAAAGGCAAGGGTTATAAGTGACGTATATCATGCTGATACATGGATATCTAGTTTGCTTCTCTCATTTAGGGGATCTGCTTGGCCAAACAAAGCATTTGAGTTAGTAATCCCTGCCTTACAACATCCAGTGCACAGGAAGTACCTGGGAAATTCTTGGAAATTTCAGATTCTGACACAGCAGGTCTGGAGAAGAGCCTGAGGTTCCGCATTTCTAAGGGGCTCTCAGCTGATAAGAATGTTATCACAGGTGGAGTAGTGAGGCCATCGCCAACATTGTGTATGAACTGATAAAATTTATGTTTTTCAAATATTTATCTATTCACAACCGAGATGAACTATATTCAAAATGTCCTAATCAATTAAGTTGTACTGCAGTTGTATAATGACATCATTTACCACAGACCTTTTTAATTAAGTACCAGCTGGTGTACCAGACGCTCTGCACAGACATCGCCCTGTGTCTGTGAAGACCACACGGTGGTGGGAGAGACAGATGTTAATTATATAATCAGGACTAGATAGAAGCACACACAAAGTAATGCATTAGGAAGCAAAAATTCAGAGTGTTGTGAGGGGTCAAAAATCTGACCTAGTCTAGAAGGATGAAAGAATCGCTTCCCAGGAGGCTGAAATCTAAAGGACGTCTCCTGTGAGGTGAAGGGTGTGGAGAGTCGACCTGTGTGCAGCAGCTGAAAAGAAACCCCTCACAGGTAGGCTGATGGGCCAATAAGGAGCCATATTCAGAGCAGATGGGCAAAAACGGTGAGAGAGTGAACGTCAGCAGCGTCT